GATAGAGCAGAGTTTAGGGCTGTTGTACATAGGGTCACTATGAGTCACAAGTGACTCGACAGCACATAACAACAGCAAACATTCCCATTGTTAATTATACCGATTTCCTCTTACCTTGTGAACGCCACGTGGTGATGTGAACCACCACCACCATGTTCATCCTTCTTCCTCCACTCCATAGTTTCAAATAATTGTATTTTGTAAATATCAATACCATTTTTTCTCAACTTTTTGTCTGATCTCATAGCGTATAAGCTGGCCAGAACCAAAAACATCATAATGTGTTCCCTACCAGAAATAGGACGTATAGAGTTCTGTGCTGATGTGATAACACAGTACTTGAGCAGAAATGAGCAGTATTCTGCTGAATGGGCATAGAAAATATCTGAGTGCTTTTGTTTTTCACTTACAAACGTATATATGCACTCACATAACGCGCACACGCACACGCGCACGCGCACAAACACATACCCCATATACCCTTTGTTTTTGTGTCCCAGGTATGTGATACAGGATGGAAGCCCATATCTTCGTTCCATGAAACAGATTTCAAAGGAGAAGCTTAAAGCAAGGCGCAACAGAACTGCGTTTGAAGAAGTAGAGGAAGATCTGAGGCTTTCCCTTCACCTCCAGGATCAGGATCCTGTGAAGGATCAAGTGCCAGATCAGCAGCTAGATTTTAAACAGCTGCTCACCCGCTATAAAGGTAAGGTGCTTCTTAGGGAAATGCTACAGTTGTGGCCAAGATTTGTAGTTTCCCCTCACCATCATTCCTGAGAGGAAAAATGTGGCTCTTGTTTCATTGTTACATTGTCTATTTTTTTCAGACCAACTTTAAACATGAAAAATAGAAGTTCTAATATATATTTAGTTGACCGTTTTTATTTTCTTTACCCATGATTTTTTTTTTCTGATTATAAAAGGAGAATCTATTCATTGTGGAAAAGATGGCAGATAGTGAAGTATAAATTATACTGTAGAATTTTTTTTTGTATCATTTCAAATTTTTTGAAGAGTTTGCATTATTATGCAATTAGACACTCTCATCAGTGCACTAATGCTACTGTTTTGTTTTTCATATATTTTGGAGTTTGCTCTGTGTGCATGTTTATTTATTTTCCTGAATCTTTCAAGAGTAAGTTGACAGTATCAGCTTTACCACTGAATACTTCACTATGTATTTACAGAGAGCACGGCAATGATCAAAATCAGGCTTTAACACTGGTAGAGTACTGTGCTTTAATCTGCCAGAACAAACCCTCTGCCTTACCGTCTTTTCTGGCACACAGCAACTCTCTGTCAGGGCTGAGACTGTGCGTCTTTAAGGGAGCAACCTAACTTACCTTTCTCCTGCGGAGCAGGTGGTGGACCTGAACTACTGACCTTTGGGTTAGCCCAACCTGTTACCCCACTGTGCTACCAGTGTGCCTTATATTTTATCATAGTCCGTAGTAGATGTCTTCCAGGTATCTCAGTAATTAGGAATACCAAGGTGTGGTGCAAATGGTTAAGCATCCATCTACTAGCTGAAAGGTCACAGCTTTGCAAACCCTGAGGAAGGTTCAGCTCAGCCCCATGGGGTCACCATGTACTGAAGTCTGCTCAGCAGCAGCACACAGGACTGCGCTATTTTTCCCAAGCTCAGGATCATGATTGCATTCAGTTGTCATTTGTCTTATGTTGTTGTTGTTAAGTGCTGTCAAGTCACAAGCGACTCATAGCAACCCTATGAAGGAGAGTCCTCTCTCCAGGTTCATAGGGTTTCCAGAGGCAAGCTATTATGGAAGTGGGTGTCTTATAGTCTTTGTAAATTTGCAACATTCCTCTATTTTTGTCTTTTATGACCTTGACATTTTTTTAAGTGTCTAGGCCATTTATTTTGCATTACATGCCGCTGTTTGGATTTCTTATGTTTCTCCAGGATTAAATTTAGAATTATAGATAGATAGAGACAGACAGAGAGAGAGAGATTATCTATCTATATATATCTATATCTATCTATATCTATATATCTATATCTATCTATATATATATCTTCATCCCAGAAACAACGTTGAGTCCTCCTCTGTACATGTCAGGAAGCATGTGATATTATTGGTTTGTGCCGTCATTGGCAACATGAGCTTGAATTATCTGTTTAAGGTGATGTCTCCCAGATATCTCTTTTGAATTGTTAAGTGCCATTAAGTCGATTACAACCTATAACATCCCTATAAACAAATCGATTCCCATTGTAGTTAATAATCTTTTGCAGAAAGATATTTGAGACAATGCGTATATTCTCCAAATTCATCCACTAGTTTTAGTTTTATTCTTGAGCTTATATAAGTTTCATTCTTTTCTCAAAGAAGCCCACACATTAACCTTTATTGTTCTAAAGGTGCTGGTGCAAGCTGTGGTCTCTACATTGATTTTATACAGATTATTGTTATTTGAACTTAACGTTACTCTTACTTGAGTCTGCTCTGACTCAATGGATGAAAGCCTGATGAGGTTTCTGAGGAATATTTAACTTTGGCACTTCCCCGTCCCCAGAATATAGGTTGTCAGTCCATGTGTAGTAATGTAGGAGAGGGAGGACAGGGAGGGAGGGGGATTCAGTGTGGCCTATCCAGGCTGTGCTAGCAGGGACAGGACCCTAGTCTCCGATTACTGTTAAAGCAAAAAGTGCTTTTGGTGAGTCTGTATTTTTTAAAAGACTGAAAGAGAAAAGTTGGTTTTCTATCCCAACTGTCTGCATTATAGATGCACACACACACTGTGTTCCTAGGCTCGGTTGTTAATAAGCTGTAATTATCTTCTGGTTTTCATCTTTCTTTCAGGGTTTAGCAAATCAGTAATCAAGACACTGTCCGTGATAGATTTTGAAAAGGTTAATTTTGAACTAATAGAGGCCTTGTTGGAGTGGATTGTGGACGGGAAGCACTCCTACCCTCCAGGTAACAGCACCTGTCTTCATTTGCCTAAAGGATGGGGAAAGAGGAAGGAGCTTCCTCCCTGTGGCCCCTGCCCCAGGACCTCGCTGAGGGATAGAGTTGTAAAAGTGCTTACTAGCTTTCCTGGCGAATAGCATACCTTTGACATTCCTTTTTCCCCTCCTCCTGCCAAGTAAAACAGAGATGTTAACAATCAAAGCCTGTACTGCAGACCGTTTTGTTAGGGATCATAATGAGGATTCTGGGAGAGAACTGTGGGGGGAAACTCAAATTTGTTAAAAACAAACGAGTTCGGCTGACTTGTCTAATGGAGACCAGTAAAACTTCTGAGGGTACGGCTATTAGACACCTTCAGGCATAGAACTAAACTAACCTCTGTGGCACAAATCTCAGCCTGACAGCGGATAGGCCTGTGAACATGGGCCATCTCCTCCTGTGCCGTTTACAGCCTCTGAAAACCCGCTGGAGGGTCAGCTGTAGGTCGGATCTGACTAGACAACAGTGAGTTGGATTACACAGTGACCAAGAACTAAGCACTTTTCAGAACGGTCAGCCATATGAGGTTAAAAGGCAGCATTTGCCCGGGGATGAGGCTCAGAAGGCAAGAGGACGAAAGGCCAACCCGTACCGATTTTGAGGAGCCCATTCCTGCAGCCACTGTATCTTTCCACTTCATGAAGCCAGCTTGAGGTCCTTTTCCAAGCACTGGTTCCTCCTGATACTATATCAAAGCACATGAGAAGTATTCTGTCTCAATTTCTAGAAAAGATTCATTCTATCATAAAAGACACAAATGGTTTTTATTTTCCTTATAACTCTTAATCCTACCTGAAATTATTGTTTCACTTCCTGTCTCCCTCAGTAGAATATAAGCTCCCTAAGAACAGAGCCTTGTTCACCACTCTGTTTTGCAGACCCGAGAACACTGCTTGGCTTAGCAATGGATAAATGAGGGTAGTCAATGTTGGTGGATTGCTAAATGGAATAATAGACTTTTCTGAACATACTATTTTGTGCTCATTATATAGCACTTGAAAGAAATGGGGGTAAGTACCTTCCTCTGCCTAGATTTCCATCATTATGTGGTTATTTTCTAAATAAACTTGTGAGCCACATGGAACTATTAAAGTTATCTTATTTCTCTTCCCTTGGCATATAGCCAAAGTTTTCTAATGCATTATCACTGAACTGAATATCTTGTTTCATCCCAAAGGAAAAGCCTATTATTAAGAAGGGGAGTGGGAATCAGAGCAGTGGGGGAAAAAATGTACTAAAATTACCTGCATTCAAATCAATGAAAATACAGTAAATAGGGAAAGATCAACCTGACACAGATGGTCAAGCCATGAGAGGAGAACAGATTAAGAAGCACTGAAAAGTGTAAGGGGCGGATGGCAAGTCATTTTTTCCATCTGTGTGCAGCTCAGGGGTTACAAACATCTGGCTGTGGATAGCTCATAATTGCCCTTTAATGTTCTCTGAGTTGACCCTCATTTTGAAAAATGACTGCTTCTGTCAGTTTGAAGACTAAGGTGCATCTGTTGCAGGCTGTGGTCTTTTCAACCACTTGCTGAGAGCTGGACAGTGAATAAGGATGTTGTTGTTGTTGTTGTTGTTGTTATGTGCCGTCGAGTCGCCTGCGACTCATAGCAACCCTATGTACAACAGCCCTAAACCATGCTCTACCCTGTGCCAATCGCACTGTCTCTGACACTCCCATCCCAATTATCCCAGTCACTGAATCAATCCACCTCATAGAGGGCCTTCCTCTCCTGCGCCGTCCCTCCACCCTCCCAAGCATGATGTCCCTCTCCAAGGACCGGTCTCTCCTCACTACATGTCCAAAGTAAGTTAGACGGAGCCTCAGAATCCTTGCCTCCAAGGAGCCCACGGTTTAACCCTTTCCAGGACAAATCTGTTTGTTTTCCTAGCAGTCCATGGTATTCTCAGTACTCTTCTCCAGAATAAGGATGACAGAAGTATAATTGATGCCTTTGAGCTGTCTTGTTGGAGAAAAACACTGAATACCTCATGAACTACCAAGAAAATAAAGATATTTCTTGGGAAAAGTGCAGCCAGAGTGCTCCTTGGAGGCACGGATGGTGAAGCTTTGGCTCAGACACCTTGGGCATGCTATTAGGAGGGGCTTTTTCCTTGGAGAGGAACATCATGCTTAGGTGGAGGGAGAGCAGAAGAGAGGAAGACCCTCAAAAAGATGAATTGACACAGTAACTGCAGCAATGGTCTCAAGCATATCAACGATGATGAGGATGGTACAGGACAGGACAGAGTTCAGTTCTGCTGTCCATAGTGTTACTCAACTTGACTGCACTTAACAACAGTAACTAGCAGCCAGGGCTTCATCACAGTCACCTTCACTTGTTGCATGTACAACTTTAATATCATTTGAAAAGCCTTTTCTTGAACTCTGGTAGGCTAAGTAAGAACTATAAGCTCCTGTTCTGACTTTACCTGCAAAACTGCCTTAAAGACAGACTTAGGTATGACTCTCATCCAAAACTTGAGGACTGCCTATAGATGATTTTCAATACTCTTAAATTTTATAACATTTTAGGAGAGAAGATCATGGCATATATAATAGAAAGAGCACAGATTTGGTGTCAGAAACCTTGAGTTACACCTCTGAAACTGTTGTCTCGCTGTAAAGTTGTTGCTGTTGTGTACCATTGACTCAGAACCAACCCACCATAGCTGACTCTCCAGCAGATTTTCAGAGGCAGTAAATCACATGGGAGAAGATTTCCCATCTTTCTCCCACAGAGTGTCTGGTGGATTCAAACCACATACCTTTGCATTGGCAGCACAGTTCCTTACCACTAAGCCACCAGAGTAAGGGAGGCTAAAAACCTTAATGCATTGCTGTGAGGTTCATATAAGATACGGTATGTAAACAGTTTTCATTTCTTTTTACCAAGTGCTAAAAAAAAAAATCCTGAAAAATATACATTTTGGCCACTTTAGAATTAAATTTTTGTTAATTTTGTTTCCCTCTTTATTTTTCTGTTTAGTAGAGATAATAGCTGTGATAACTAGGTCCCACGTTCCTTGTGGGCAGATATTTGTTTTATATCCCACTACACGTAGGATGAAGCTGACAGAGGCATCTGCTAAATATTTGTGAAGCCATTAGTTCATTAATTCTTGTGCTACCTCTTCAACATATACCTGAGTTTAGATTAGCTAATTGTTTAAATTAGCTTTCTCATATACACTCGTTTTCCTTTTATCCCCTTGATTCTTTTTGTATATCCAGGGGCTGTCCTTGTGTTTTTACCGGGACTAGCAGAAATCAAAATGCTGTATGAACAGCTCCAGTGTAATTCTCTCTTCAACAACAGACGTAGTCATCGGTAAGTTCCTTGGGCCGTTACATGGAGCTGTGTAACTAGAAAGGTCATGTTTATATTCATCACTGTCCTTAGACTCTCAGCCCTCTTCACAAATATATTTGTTTGTATTAGCTACAGATAAAGAACCAGTTTCCCCCAGGAAAAAAAAAATGTATTTCTGTTCCATTAAAAAAATACTGATTCAGAAAATCCACATGTCATTTCAGTTACCAGATGCTTGCCGAGATGTGGGGAGAAGCAGAGTTAGTAACAACAGAGAAATGTTACTGCGGTTTTCCGAGAAAATTCTTTTTCACTGGCTCCTATTCCAGTAGCAGGGTATACTAGGTATATCGTCATATTTGAAAGGAAAAATATTTGACAGATGAACACTTCCTAGAAATGTTGTTCTTGTTATGTGCCGTCAAGTCACCTGCAACTCATAGCG